GCAAATCAAAACTGCAATGAGATTATACCTCATAACGATTAGGATGGTCACTCTCAAAAAACCAAAAAGCAACAAGTTTTGGCGAGGATGTGGAGAAATTGAAACCCTTGTGCACTGTTGGAGGGAGGGTAAAATGGTACAGCTGCTGTGGAAAACAGTATGGCAGTTTCTCAAAATATTAAAAATAGAATTACCATATGATCCAGCAATTCCATTTCTGTATAAACCCCAAATAATTCAAAGCAGGGTCTCAAAGAGATATTTGTAGAACCATGTTCATCGGAGCATTGTTCACAACAGATGAGACGTGCAAGAAACCCAAGTGTCCACTGATGGATAAAAGGGTAGCAAAATAAGGTCCATCCATACAATGGAGTATTATTCAGCCCTAAAAAGGAAGGAAATTCTGACACATGCTACAACACAGATGAACCTTGAGGACGCCATGCTCAGTGAAATGGGCCAGTACAGGAAAACAAATACTGTGTGATTCTACTTACACGTGGTACTTACAGTAGTCAAATCCATAGAGACAAAACGAAGAATGGTGGGGGCCAGGGCTGGGGGAGGGGAGAATGGCAGGTTGCTGCTTAACGGGGACAGAGTTTCAACTTTACAAGATGAAGAGAGCAATGCAGATGGATGGTGGTGATGGTTATACAACAGCGTGAATGTACTTAACGCCACTGAACTGTGTGCTTAAAATGGTCATGAAAGTACATTTTGCTGTGTGTATTTTACCACACACACAAAAAAGGACATAGGAGCCAAAGTGAAGGGCCGGCCACTGGCCAAAGATTAGGTAACCTGAGCATCTGAATAATCTGAATAATGACTATAATATATCTGAAAAACATTAAATATGAAACAATTCCTGAGCTTGTAATGATAAGTTAAGGACGCCCCACTGGTTACCAAGAGGTTATTAGGGCACCAGTGTATTGCTTTGAAAGTTGATGATCGCAGGGAAAGAATCAGGCGCGTGGCCTGCCTCTCCTGCACACGCTGTATTTCAGGGTAACCAGCCAGTTGATGAGAACTTTTTCTTTCCAGCACCCCCAGGGCAATAACGAATCAAGGGAGAGACTGTAGCTGGGTATTAGAGCCATCAGATAGCGGTTGAGCGGGATCCTGACAGCGGGGATTCAAGTGGACAGCCCTGAACCCACTCATGGATCTTTGGTCACTCAAAGCAGGACTAGACACCTTGACCTCTGTTGTAAGGTGATGGGAAGAACACACCTGTTACTCTCGCTTAAAAGTCTGCGCCTGAGTCTAATTGAGCCTGTCGCTCCACATACCCGTCTTGAGAAGCAGGAGGAAGAAGGAGTTAACCTCACCAAGCAGAATTGCCCACAGAGCACAGCATCATCGCGGGACCCAGGATCCAGAATCGGAAGGTGCACGTTACCAAGAACCGCAGAGAATCCAGTGCACAGGAAGTGTGTGCTGTGCTCAGGCAAACAATGCCAGAGGACACTTCACCCGCACCTGGGTGTAGGCCACCCTGAGCAGGTCACCTGGTCTCTAACAAGTCCTCGGGACTACAAAGGCTGTCTGGGGGGATGGGGATCCAACACAACAAAAGATTCGAGAGACACACGACCAAGTGCAACACGTGGATCCTGTTTCCGTACGGATTCAATAAATCAACTGGAAAAAGACCTTTCAGGACAATCAGGGACATTTGACTATGAACTGGCTATTAGACAGTAGTAAGGAATTATTATTAATTCTGTTTGGTGTTACAATGGCATGGTGGTTAAGTTGCTGTTTGTGGGGATTTTTTGCTGGGAAAGAGTCTCCCTGAGCTAACATCTGTTGCCAATCTTCCTATTTTTTTTCTCCCCAAAGCCCCAGTGCATAGTTGCATATGCTAGCTGTAGGTCCTTCTAGTTCTTCTCTGTGAGCTGCTGCCACAGCACGGCTGCTGACAGACGGGTGGTGTGGTTCCACGCCCGGGAACCAAACCCAGGTCGCTGAAGCAGAAGACTCTGAACTTTAACCACTAGGCCATCAGGGCTCTTAAGTTTTTTTAAAGTCCTTACTAGTTAGAGATGCATATTGAAATACTGGTGAGTGAAAATGACCTCTGATCAGGAATTTGCTTTAAAATATTCCAGGGGAAAAATGTGTATGTATGTTGGCTAAAGGAAACAATGTTGTGGTTATCACACAATGCTGTAGTTTTGTGTGTTTAAAATTTTCCATATTAAAAAGTTTCACGGAAGTGAATGGAGACAGGGAGACAGCTCATCCAGATGACTCCTTCAAGATGTCAGGCTCTAAAATAATAATAGTGGGAAATATTTATGCAGTGTTTCCTAAGTACCAGGGGCTATTCTCAGCACTTTATACTATGTCGTTTAATCTTTACAACCACCCTATCATGTAGGTACTAATATTATTCCAGTTTTATGGATGAGGACACTGAGGCAGAGAGCAACTAAGGGGCTGGCCCAAAGTCACACATGTTACCGAACCTGAAGTGAGTTCGCTCACCCATTGCACAGCAAGCCAATCTCTGACACCGGAGGTGGTGGAAGAAAGTAGGATTTTTATTTTTGCACAGCGCTGAGCAAGGAGAGAGGGCAGCTAACGCTGAAATCCCAAACTCCCTGAAAAGCTAAAAGGGAAGATTTTTATTTGGGGTTTTAGGTAGGGGAGGGGGAGCATATGGCCTTACTGGTCGGAGCTTTCCCACCAACCTGTCTTTGGCCTTGAGACACTTACAGAGGGGAGGAAGCCTGTGACCTTGCTGGTCAGCAGCTTTCCCACCAGTCTGTATCTCTTTGTGGGGAGGAGATAGTCCAGGTGCTTGTCCTTGAGGGTGTCTGTCTCCATGGAGGATAGTGGATTCTGGAGCCAGGAAGCCAGAGAGTAAGCAGGGAATGAGTGTTTTGGTTTTAACCCCATATATGCTGGGTTTAATGTGGGGAAACTGGTATCAGGGTCGGTATCACGCAGAAGGTAAGCGGCAGAGGAGGTGAGCCCTGACGGCGGCCCCAGAGTCCAGGCCTGCAAGCACCATGCTGTAGTGCTTATCAAAGGGACGGCATTGGTAGCTGCTGCTGCCTAAATATGTCCCCTCAAAATTCATGCTGGAATCCTAACACCCAACGTGACGGTGTTAGGAGGTGGGCCTTTGGGATGTGGTTACACCATGAGAGTGGAGTTTCCACAAGTGGGACCAGTGCCTCATAAAAGAGACCCCAGAGTTCCCTCACTCCTTCGCCGTGTGAGGACACAGCAGGAAGGCGGCCGCCCGCAACCTGGAAGAGGACCCTAGCAGAACCCGACCATGCTGGCGCCCTGGCCTCAGGCTTCCAGCCTCCTGAATGTGAGAGACGTGAGCTATGCGGTCTGTGGTGTTTTGGTATAGCAGCCCAACAGACGAAGACAGTGGCTAGGGACGGAGACTAAGCTGGAGGGCACAAGCCAGTAGGAAGGAAAAGGCTGAAGCCCCAAACAGAGCAGGGTCCCTGAGGACAAGAAGATGACCTCCAGGGCGAGAGGGGCTGAGGGCAGGGGCACAGGTGTAGACAGCTACAGAAGGCCTGCGTGCCTGGTGGCCCACTGCCTTACACCGGGAACACATCCAGCGGGGCTCCACCCAGTGCTGGAAAAGCCAACAGTACACCCTTTACTGAAGGCCTACTGTGTGTCAGGCACAGAGCCAAGGACTTCACACTCCTGGTCTCATCTGAGCTCTACCACATTGCTGTGAGGGAGGTGCCACCACTATTTCCCCACTTCAAGATGACAACTCTGTGGTCTGTGACCCGTCCACACTCACACAGCTAAAAGCAGTGCAGTGAAATAACCCAGGCCATACGATGCCAATCTGTTACTCCATGACGCTGCATTATTCCCCATTTCCCCCTTGTTTCAAGAGAGTTCATGATTACTTGTTGAAGCCTTCTTCTGACCGTATACTAACATTAAAAAAAAAATGAGTGTGTGCAAAATCTGGTGAAATCCATGTAAGGTCTGTAGTCTATTGATTGTAATCTGTCAGTGTCAAATTCCCAGACTCCAGGATACAGTAATTTGGTTGTTCTAGTTATGGAAGATTTTACAATTGTAGGGAGCTGGGCAATGGGTACATGGTACCTCTTTCTACTATTTTTTGACAGTCTATAAATATAAATATTCCAAAATAAAAATTTTTTTTTAAAAATAATCATTGGATCCAGAGCTGAAAGGACCCAGTGGGTCACACTGGGTGATTAACTCCTTTTTTTTTTTTTTTGAGGTAGATCAGCCCTGAGCTAACATCTGCTGCCAATCCTCCTCTTTTTGCTGAGGAAGACTGGCCCTGAGCTAACATCCGTGCCCATCTTCCTCTACTTTATATGTGGGACGCCTGCCACAGCATGGCTTGATGAGCAGTGTGTAGGTCCGCGCCTGGGATGTGAACTGGCAAACCCCAGGCCGCCAAAACAGAACATGCGAACTTAACTGCTATGCCATGGGGCCAGTCCCAATTCCTCCTTTTTTTACAAGAAAACTGAGCCTTGGAGAATCTTGTTCAGGGGGAGGCCTCACTCGAACTCAGGCTCTCCCCTCCTCCCAGCCCAGAACGTTTCCGTCTCAGCTGCCTTCTCCTCCTGCTCACACTTCCACACCCGTTTCCCTCCCCACAGCAGTCTCCCTCCTTCCTCTCGACACCTTCTACACTTCCTCCTCCCCCACCTCTTGCCAAGCAGTGGGAACAACCAGCAAATGGCTATTTTGGTTTGCTCACTACAGCACACATTGGGCCATCCGAGCATTCTGCCGGGATTGGCGCTCCACGGCTCCCCCCAGGGTTTGTCCTTTGGCCCCACTTGTCGTCTTTCATTCCATTAGAACCTTCAGAATCCTTAAGAAGTGACAGATCAGAAGGAATTCTGATGTCATTACGCTTGGAAAGGTCCCAGGTTCAGGTGTGTTTTTATCTTGTTCCCTGGGATTTGCTGGATCACTTGCCCAAGTGTAACCACCATATGTCAGTTCTCACAAAAATCGATTTACAAAATTATCCAACAAAATACAAACACTCAATAAGCAGTATCACTTGCAATTGATCCATTTCAAAGAAAGTACTACCAGGAGTGGCTAAAGCAACAGAAATGCAAATGTTAACACTGCTTTTAAGTTTTTGTTTTTCGCTTTCAACTGCTTTTTATTTCCACGTGGGGGAACGAGAGGAGAAATGCATAATAGAAGACATTCCAAGCGACACCTTGATAACAGGTAGGTAAGACGCGCTCTGTCGAATGTTGAACTCAGCCGAGACCACAGGGTACTGTGCTCTCTCCTGATGCAGCATTGTTTGGCAATGAGGGTCACGCTGTGTGGTTTTCTCTTGAGACAGTTTATCAAGTTATGCAAACCTAACACGAAAATAGCCTTTAGGATGAATTGCATAATTCATAAAACAGGAAACCCAGGTAGAATATCACAGAATCTAAGCTTGATTTGTTTTTCTGGTTGTTTCTCTTAAGTAAAAGAGCTTCTGATGCCATTAATCACGCTAATTGTGGTTCAGTTCTCAAAAGACACATGAGTTCTCTAGACTGGTCCAGTAAAACGGGACAGAACAGCAGAAGTTAACGTCTCCCGACCACCAGCCTCCTGGAGCCCCACACGTCCCGCAGGGAGGGCGTGCTGTAGGGGGGCACGTGTGTGCAGCTCCAAGACTTCTTTCCAAGCACACTGCCCGTAAAACCTGCTGTCCTCGTGGTGTCTCTGCCACCAAGTACATCCCCGTACGGCTGAGCTTAACTGGCCTTCTGAGAAAGAAAAATGCCCATGGTTTCAGAATTCTATAGAAAACCCAGTATGATATTTAACATTCAAGTCAGAATCAACATCAAATTCCTTGATTTTAATGCAAAAAAGAAAAAAAAAGCAGCAGGATCTAACTCTAGCAGTATTCTTCATAAGTACTGGTCACGTGTTTTTACGTCCAGTTCAATCCTACCCTAAGGAGTCGAATTCCTCTCAATTTCTCTTGGCTATCACATTCGGGTGCTCTATGCAAAAAATAACCCATCCCACAAAAACTCAAATAGATGCAACACGCATGGAGGCAAAGGAAGAGACTGCAATGTGAGACAGAGTTTTGGGGTGAGTAGACTGGAAAGAAGTCATACGGAGGACAGCTGGGTGGCATTGGAACCCTCACTGCTGTGGCCATTGTGGGAAGAAGCTGTGTTTGAGACTGTGGAGTGTGAACAAGACCAGCCGGATCCAAACCCAGCTCTGCCACTTAATAACTGTGCGCCCTCGGGCAAGCTACTTAACCTCTCTGCTTCATTTGTAAAATGGGATAAAAATAATGGTGATACCTGTTTCTTTTGGTTGTGATGATGATTGAATTAATAGTTACAAGGCTCTTAGAAACAGTCAGACACACTGGCTGTGTGTGTCTGATTCCAACTTTCTCATCCTGGGGGATGCTCTGACTCCTGGGTGAATAGCTCTGGGCAGCTGGCCATTTTCCTAGCAACCTGTGAATTTTTCAACCTGCATCTGAAGGACAGAGGAGGAGTGAGAGGGACAGGAGTAGGCTTGCCACCCCGCCTGCTGCTTCATGGCCCACCAGCTCGATGGACTGGGCCTGGGGCACACTTGTGGCAGCAAGAACCACCTGACCTGCCAGAGGGGTCTGAGGCAGGAAGGCAAATGTAGCCAGACAGTGCTCTGCAGCTGCGTGGATGACAGGGCCCAACCTGGCCAGTCCCTCAGCCCAAGTCAGGAGCCTCTTTAAGTCCTTGTGGACACTGCAGTCCACCTCCTTCCTTGTCCTTCCCTGGTTCATTCTTCCCTAACTCCAACTGCACCCCGCTCCCTTTTCAAGCCTCTGTCTCTGTTCTCCCTGCTCTGTCACCTCCTCAGCCATCACCCCCATGCAATTATTTAGGGTTAGAGCTCAGCTGCTCAAAGTCTACTATAACCACAGGGAAAACTGGAAACACACCAGGTCACGTGTTTCAATGTTTCTTTAAAAAAGAATATGGTCCTAAAGTCCCAAAATGTAGAATATGCTAATAGAGAAAAAAATGGGGAAAAATACTTGATTAATCAAAAAGAAAAAGGCAAGAAAGAAGGGATAAAGGAACAAGCAATTAAAAGGACAAATGGAAAACAAATAGCAATATGGTAGGCATAAACCCAACATTTTACACTACATTAAACATAAAAGGATAAAAACTCTCCAATGATTTGGGGCTGGCCCCGCGGCCGAATGGTTAAGTTCGCGCGCTCAGCTGCAGGTGGCCCAGTGTTTCATTGGTTCGAATCCTGGGCGCGGACATGGCACTGCTCATCAAACCACGCTGAGGCAGCGTCCCACATGCCACAACTAGAAGGACCCGCAACAAAGAATATACAACTATGTACCGGGGGCCTTTGGGGAGAGGAAAGAAAAAAATAAAATCTTTAAAAAAAAAAAAACTCTCCAATGAAAAGATGAAGGTTGTCAGACTGGATTTAAAAACAAAACAACGATATGCTGTTTCCAAAAGAAACACTTTAAAAATAAGGAAAAATTGAAAGTAAAAGAATAGAAAAGATATACCATGTAAATATGAACCAAAACAAACATTACCGGAGTTTAAAGAGACACGCAACTCACTGATGTTGGGTTTAGTAACAGAAAGATGTTCTTGGAGGTGCTTCCTACTTGACTGTTAGGAATTTATTTTAAAACGATTTTGAGCACGATAGAATATCACTTAAGTCTCTATTCTTGTCATTTTTTCTTAAACTGTGATTGTATCTTTAATCATCAGTCCCTTACTTTGATGTGCCAAATAATGTAATAGCATACCCAAAAATACAATTCTTAAACATTTCTTTTAAAACTCCCCTTGATGAAAAACTTTCATTGCATATTTCCTCTATGCTTTTTTGTTCATCATATATTAAAAGCCCCTATATCTAAAGCCAGGACCTTGGCTCTGTTCGTCTGCTTGCAGCATGAGTACGTTCCTGGGGGCTGTGGGCCAGGATCCTCGGACTTCTGCATGCCCATGCTGCCTATGCCAGGAAATGACTCCGTGTCTCCACTCCCTGTCTCACCGAACCATCTCAAAAGCTTCGCTGCCCGTGAGACCCCTGCCTTTCACTTAGTGCACACATGATCATAATGCATGTGTCAAACACTACTTGGTTAAGAAATGCTCACCCAGAATATGCCTATATTTAATTCTTAGATCACCATTAAAACAAAAACACAAATTTTAAAGCTTTGCTGGAGATCTGTGGACACCTGACATCCCTAGTCCGGGAAGAGCACACACCAGCTACGTCTCACTTTTCTCTTCACGGCTCTGGGGTCCAAAGGAGTCCAACAAAATAAGCCCATCCAGAAAGTTCAAGAGAGATGACCTCAGAGCTGGTCATCAAAATCTACCTAGAAGTGTGCGTTTGGTCATTAGGACTAAAAATAGGCTGCAGGGAATTCCAGGAATCGGCCTTCCGCATTCCCCAGGTGGAGGTAGCTCTGGGCGCCACAGAACAGCGACTAGAATTTGGAGTCAGAGAGGCGTGCTTACAATTGCGGTCATTGCCCAGCGGCTTGGTGACTTGAGCTCTGTTTCCTTATCTGTGAACTGGAGCTCACACCTGCTCTGGAGCAGCAAAGCACCTGGCATGGCCTGGGACCAGCCACAGGTGTTCATCAATGTTAGTTCCCACCCTCTGGGGCTGTCTCCAACCTTGTCAATTCGGCCTCCCAGGGTCTGTCCTAAGCTACCAGACAAGCAGGTTGGCTGCAGCTCTGGCTCAAACCCTCCCTGAAGGGGAGGATGTTGCCTGAGGAGCAGAGAAGAGGCCTGCATCCCCTACTGGAGGCTGAGGGGAGACAGAGCAGGGCCTGTGCCCCTGTGCCCCATGCCGGTCCACATGCAGCCACATGCAGGATAAGAAACCCTTGCTACGTATGCTCTCTTAGAAATGTCAAGGTCTAAGATATTCTGTGTCTTCATATTGTTTATCTTAGGTCTTCTCAGTAACATTCTCTAAAAATAAGTTCCAGGTTGTCTTGAATGAAAGAAGGGGGAGAGGGCTCTCTGGGGAGAGAGGAGAGGAGTAGGCGGGGATGTGGCGGGCAGCTGTGAGTCACCGCTGCTGGCCTGATGAGCTGTAAAGCCACTTACTCACTGGACCTTGGAGACCTTTTTTTAAACAAGGCTGTTAGTCCTCGTACAAGGCAGGCACGGAGAGAAAGGGAGAAGTGCCATGGAGCACAGTGGCCATAATGTGTGAGGCTGTTCATTAAAAGGAAAACATTCAGAATTTGGGACCAGTTAATGAAAAATTTTGCTCCTGGTTGCTCCCTTCCTAAGGGTCCCCAGATATGACTCTTGCACTATGCCAGACTACCTGGGGTCTTGTTGTTTTTTCCTCTGAGTACAAAACCTACAGGAGACCAGGAGATAGGAGAAGAGGAGGGCACCCCGTTAAATGAGTGCCATCACTCATCATTCCACGGGGAGCAGCTCCCGTTCCTGTCTTCATGGAAGATCCCACCACACCCCAGGGTGTCCGAGGTCAGGTGCTCTCTGAAATCGAACCTGAGCCGAGGATTCAAGCGCGAGTGGTTCATTAAGAAGATGCTCCCAGGTAGGGAGGGAAAGAAGCCAGGCGAGGTGAGATTGCAGGTGAAGCTCAGACTCAGACAGAGCCTGGTGGGCTCCAGAATATAAGGTAATACTGCAGACATATGATCCTGAACTTCCACTTCTGAGCAGATGCCCAAAGAAGTGAAAACAAGGACTCAGACACCTGTTTACCTGTTCACACAGCATCACTCACAACAGCCAAGAGGGGGAAGCAGCCCAGTGTTCACCCACAGAGGAATGGACGAGCAAAATGTGGTCTACACATACAGTGGAGTACTAGTCAGCCTTAAAAAGGAAGGAAATTCTGACACCTGCTCCAACACGCATGAACCTTGAGGACAGTATGCTCAGTGAAAGAAGTCAGAAACCAAAGGACAACTATTGCCTGGGGCCACTTATTGAGATACCCCGAGTAGTCAAATTCAAAAAGCAAAATTAGCACCAAGGTTACCAGGGGCTGGGGGGAGATGGGAACAGGAGTTATCACTTAAACGGGTACAGTTTGTTTGGAGTGATGAAAAAGTTCTGGAAATGGATAGTGGCGGTGATTGCACAACAATGTGAATGTACTTAATGCCACTAAATTGTACACTTATAAACGGTTAAAATGTTAGGTTTTGTTAT